TATACCCCTCATCATCACATGTACCATCACAGCAACCTCTTTTTTCTTGTACGTCTTGTCGGTAAGTGCGAAACTGAAATCCGTAGACGGAGTGGGATGGCCAAGGACGCATTCTAAAAGCTGGATAGAGTCTTGCGAAACAAGAGAATTTCTTTGGTAAAAGAAAAGAATACTGAGCTGTTACGTGACATCTTTTCTTCTTTACGGCAACGAATGTTGGACGATTTCCTCAAAGATGAAGAAGAGACTCCAGGCGACGGAGATGTAGTTCTACAGAAGGATGCTAAGTTATATCATGGACTGGGCGTGTGAGCAACGATGACGTCTTAGAGAGGTTACAAACAAGGAGTAGGCTTATACTTAATATCAGGAAGAGGCAGCTGAAGTTTCTGGGACACAAAATATGGAAGGAGGACCTGTGAATATGATACTCGCGGGTCAAATAGAGTGAAAGCGAGACAAGGGAAAGCAGCGCGTGGCATAGCCAGCAAAGGATAGATGGAGGTGAAGAACCATGATTACCTACGTCCTGCAAGGACATGGCACATAAAAAGAAAAGAAGAAAAAGTTTGTAAACATCTTTTTCAAAGCTCAAACAAGTAGCAGCATTTAAGGGATGTAATTGAAATAAACTTCGATTACGTCACTAGCTATTGGTAAAATAGCAACGTCAACCGGGCTATCTAGTTTTGTTAGTAATTATACAAGGGAGGTAACTCTGAATACAAAAGAGACCCACAGTTAAAGAGAGGCTTACAATACCATTTTGGAACAATCTACTTGGCACGAAAAACACGGTCATGTCAGCCATTTCTTACTTGCGGCTATAAGCTATGGAGAATAAACTAAACTATATTTTTTGTTGTTTAATTAATTCTTTTTCTCTGTAATAATTTTTCACTTCTTATTGTTCTATGTTCTGTATCCTGTCAGCATCGGTACGATTATGGCTCTCCACGCCTACCTGTTATTTGTCGCCCTTAGCAATGTTTGTGAATTCACTATAGCTCACACACTCTGTTCATCATCCTTTTAAATAATCTTCATTGCTAGGTTACTTCCTGTTTCGCTCTGTCTCTCTTGTCATCAACATGTCCGGTGAGTGTTAAATTCTCTAAGCCCTCTGTCCTTATTATGCGTATTAACCCTAGAACACTAACCATCAATTAAAGTTACACCACTACTAACCATGGGTATATCATACCCAATTTTGAAAATATCAAAAAAATATTAAATATAAATCTTTATTTGAAATATTTTACATGCAGGCACTTCAAACTTTGTACTTTGAGTTAACATTAATAAGAACTGAAAAAAACATATTATTTAGGTAGGAAAATCAGGTACTTAAAAATAGGAAAATTTGCGCTGGGTACTATGGGTACCCATGGTTAGTGTTCTAGAGTTCAACATGATAACCGTTTCTTTCCGATTTTATGCATAAGTGTCCTTTTGTTCCGTTATTCTTAAAACATCATTGTTATTCCAGTGTCCATGATATGAGATTGTGGGAAGCGTTTTTTTTTTTTGTTATTTAATTCGCAGTCTGATTTTTGTGACGCACACCCTGTTGAAACACTCTCTGGATATTTAAATTTTCCTACTCACTTGATTTTAGCATCTCCATTTAATAAAATGCAACATTTGCAGGTAGAAATAATTTGTTTGTTGCCCACTTTCTATTGATGCTTACGGTTCAAGAATTATAACAATAGGTAAAAACACATTGCTAAATAAAGCGACACTAAAGGTGAACTGACAGTTCAATATTTACAAAGATTATCCTAATCAGTCACAAGGCCTTCTTGTCGTCATTCTGTCGTGACTGGGAAATATTTCCTCTTTCTTATATATATATATATATATATATATATATATATATATTAGAAATTATTGTTATTAGTCTTCTCCTGACATATTGCCTTCAGTCATTTTCCCATCGCAATAACATATCTTCCCTCTGCCATTTCTAGAAATATTTTCATGGTAATTGTTCTGCTGAAACTTTCTGTATGATATTTAGATTTTATGACTTAAGCGCAGTACTTCATTGCCTGTAAGGTCTCATCATTTAACAGTTGGAATGGCAATGTGAAACCGTAATTTCTATTCGTAACAGTTGCTTTTCTCGCACTTCTCGTTTGTGGAACTCGCTTCCAGCTTCTTGCTTCCCAAACAACTTTCATCTTCAGAAATTTAAATTCAATGTCAATCATTATCTTTTGCATTCTTAATTCTATACTCCAATTGGCTCATTCGCTTGCTTAAACTCAACGTTGATTCTGATTCCGCAGAACTGGGTTGAGTGTGAAAAAGTATTTGTTGTTAACATTCTTTTTTCATTCGGTTTTTCCAGTTACGAGTGCTTTTTTAAAGATGATCGTTTTGTGTTCATTTTGTTTAGTTCGTTTTTCGTAACAGATTTAATGTTTAGTATAGAGCTTAGAAAAAATTCGCAGTGTGAGATAGGCAAGAAGTAAGGCATGTAGCAACATCAGCACGGCAAAGGGCACTCCTTTAAAGGCAAGGAAAGGCAAGTAAAGTAAAGTAAAGAGATAGCGATTGCTGTATGAGTCGTACGGTTTTTGAATCAAGCACGGGCAACGCCGGGCTATGCTGCTAGTTTATATATAAACGTCATTCTGTTTATTAGATAAATGAACCAGATTTTACGACAATCAAATACATACATACATACATATATATATATATATATATATATATATAAGGAGAAAAATATTATGTAAAAATCCCTTTCCCTTTCCATAAATGTGTCAATATATTAATACTCTTCGCGCTTAGAAAATAAGAAATAAAGAAAGAAATGAGTAATAGCATGCAATACACATTTAGTTTAGGTTAGAAGCCGTCAGACCCCTCACTTAGACTAGAACTGAGAAGTTGTCTACTTAGCTTCATCTCTGACATTGTTATTGAAGTGAGCCGTAGAATTTCTCTAAAAATCATTACTGCCACTATCTTTCAAGATAAATCATAAACCCCATTTTCCTTTTGTTTCGAAATATTAGCATCAAAATACTTTTAGATGTGTCATGTATGCGATAAATATCTATGAGTATCGTCCAACAAAATAACTTCAAGCGAAAAGCAAAAAGTGTCAGAAAAAGAAAAAAAATTCTTTTTCAAATCCAAAAAGAAAGTGTCTGCAGTAAGATAAAAGAACTCCAAATATTAATTCTAATGGAAAAGATAAATACATTCAAAATAACGAATCTTTAATAGTTAACACTCCCTCTCCCTTTTAATATCAAATTTTCCCCTCTCCACTATACTTATAGAATAAAATAAATGATAAATACATACGAAAAAACTGTGATCCATAGATTAAAAGCATCGTGCATATCGAGCAATCCTGTATCAAATTTCATTTGCCTCCACAAGCTATGAACACGTGGTTTTCACGGTCCATTTCTGTTAACACTCGCACAGGCATTCGACAAGTCTATGAGAAAGAGGCAAGTTGCAAGCATGGGAAAAAGTATGCTTTGCATTTGTCATCTTTCTACACACGCGCACACACATATAGAGAGAGATTTGTGTTAACATGCACAAACGTGTGTTGCAGAAATAGAAAAAAGCCATATCAGCATTTTTCTTTTCTTGGGTCTTGTATTGCTTTGTGAATTTGTAAAACATTCATAAATCTTCCAAACGATTTTTAACGACCAGTTCGACAAATAAAAAAACCCTAAAACAAAAACTATCGCAGCGTTGCAGTGATTAACTACGTCATTCTCGTATATCACTTCTCTGCGTTAAGCGTCCTCTTTTACACTTCGTTGGGTCAGGCTTGACAAGCACACACTTTGCTGAATAAATAATTCTTCATGCAAAAAAAAAAAAAATTCAAACTAAAAGAAAGACAATGTCTCGATTCTTTATAGAATTTTCTCTTGGTTTTTATTCTTTTTTTGATTTTCCGTTGTCCGATTCACGCTGTTTTGTCGGATTCTCTTCCAGTTTTTCCAACTTTTTTGACGTCGATCACAGCCGACCATTTTCCGGCTGGATTGATACTTGCCGCCAAGAAGTAAAAAAATATCTGTAGTTGAAATAAAAGTCTTTAACAACGTCATCACGAATACACAGGTCTAAAAGAGGTGGTGGCCATCACAGATTAAGAAGGATGATGATAATCTGGCAAATCTATAAGAGTAATTAGTGCATTTCCCCCGCCAGAATCCTAGTTTAACATATATATAAATATCTCCGTGACTAGCAAGCTAGTTCGAAACATTATTTGGGCATTAATCGAGAGATTATGTATATAGTCGTATACTAGAATAAGCTAATATGATTATCAGCGTGTTGCGTGTCGTACTGGCAGGATTAGGGTTAGGGTAATAGCCTATCGATAATTCCTTAGTAGGAACACCAAAGCTGCTTCAACAGAATTCATCAATGAGACTCCATTTTCTTCAGTTGTTTTTTTTTTTTTATAAATTTGCTTTATTTTTAGGCGTGGGGGAATAGGGCGTATCATTTATTCGAGGAAACAAGAAAGATAGTTTGAATTTTTATGTCTTATCAGGCCTTTGAAATATTAAAAGAAAAATATATTTTGTATCGTAAGAATAATTCGTTTTTGCGAGTGTATATTGCATCAGCAATTCTTTTGAAGATAATACAGATTTTTACAGATACAATTTCTACTATTTAAACAATAACTGATTGAAAATTAATTCGTGTAAGAGAATATAAGAAAAAAACATTTCTCATCCACTGTCACTATGTATTACACCCATCGCTTACCCGCGCGGAAATAGAGAGAGAAAAAGGGATATATATATATATATATATATATATATATATATATTTGATTAAAATATAAAAGAACGAAGAATAAAATTGCATCTTTCAAAACATTATTTTAAAACAGGCCTTAATACAGTAATACATATTTATTATACACCGTTACATTTTACCATCATTGTTAACTACCTGATGAGGCGTTTATTAAACATCGAAACAAAATGTACAATATAGATAGATAGATAGATAGATAGATAGATAGATAGATAGATACTGAACAAAGATAGATTGAAAGATAGATATGAACAATGTGTGATAGATAGATAGATAGATAGATAGATAGATAGATAGATAGATAGATAGATAGATAGATAATGAACAGGCTGATATAGATAGATAGATAGATAGATAGATAGATAGATAGATAGATAGATAGATAGATAGATAGAAAAAAAGAAAGAGAGTGAGAGAGAATGGGGGCGGAAAATGATCAGCTACCCATGTTTTCACATGATGGCTTGTCTTCCTGCTAAAACTATGATTCGTAGTGGAATCTTATTTCCGGCATTATCATAGATGGTTTTCGCTTTCTTTCCGAATAACATTACAACCTATCACTGTGAGTATTCTACGCGCAGGAGGGTTAAACCATTCCTTCTTAGTTTTGGTAGCAAGGTTGTAAGATCAGGAATTACGTTCACTAGAATGAACATTTTGCCATTTTTATTTTGTCTACTCATTCTGTAACATTAAGTTGTTTGGTTTAATTTTATCTGATCACAAACTAGTGTTATATGTTCGATAATTATAGATAACAGGCACTTGATCTTCTTAACATAACATAGCAAGATTAATAAATACTAATTTAACCAGGGTTATCATATCACGAGCATTTTTATGTTTTGACCTGAAATCGTTGTCGCCATTTTCTACATGATGTCCTCGCAAATAAAATTGAATTTCTAAGCTTTTATATTACCACCTTATATTTCCGCAGTACGTTAGGGAGCATCAGTCCCCAAAGAGGATGCAAGTCACATTAGAAACGGATTTCTATGTTTATAAGAGAAAATATGTGGACATTTTTAAGGGGTAACAAACTAGAAATATTCTCCAAACTGACTGCGAACTATGACGAGAAAAGTTAGAAAGCTTAGATATTGAATGTATCTTTTGGTAATAGTTAAGCCGCCAGTTTGCCGCAATACAGTATTTCTGCTAAGTTGGCTTTTTTTTTATTACAACGTATTTTTGTCAGTGTACTTCATTACAATCTTTGTTCATATAACTCAACAGATCTAGTATAGGCAGCTTTTGATCAAAGAAAGAGATGTGATGAATTCGTGTTTCAGAAGTATGGATCGTGATGTGAAGTTCCCAAAGGAAAACCACAGTTTAAGGGTGTCATTTGAGAAAGAACAGGCCCAATAATTCACTCTACGGAAACGTTTATGCATACAACGATAACTCCATAAAAAAAAAACTAAACAAAAGTAACTTGTCAGTCTGGTTGAAAGGAACATTTATCACAGAAGGATTGTTGCTTAAATACACAGCTATACGGTTGCTGTACAGTACAAATCGTAAGAGATGCCTCCTAAAAAGAAAGGTTCGTGACACAGCAAACCCGAAAAGAATGATGGTGAGCTTGCAATCGAAACGTTGACAAAAAAGGAACTGATGAAGTAATTAATGTGAACAAATTGACAATATTATGTTTGTCTGAATTTCTGGGTATGAGGAATTATCATTACTTACACAATTATATTCGGCGTACTTTCCTCATATTTGCCGTTGTTATCACAGTGTTTCGACATTTGTGCTCTCCTCTCTTCATCAGGTACATATTGATCTTTGTCACCTACAGGAAATTCTGAAATAAATCATGTAATCCCCGGTAGCAAATTGTTCTTGCTCAGCTGCCATGTCTAGGGACATCTCGTCTAGTTCTTATTTTTACTACTGCTCATTGATTGCTCGCCCGTATCTACTGAGTCCAATCACGCACTGCCCAGCCCAGGTATTGAATTCGAAATTTAATCCACTAGGCTATTGACGATAGTCTAGTGGATTAAAGCGTTGTTTTGTGAATTTGGTGTCATCGGAATTGCGAGTTCAATCCCCGGTCTGGGTAGTGTATACTTGGAATCAGTGGCAACCACCAAGCAATAACTGAGCAGTAAAAAAAAATAAGAACAAGACGATATAAGAACAAGACGATATAGGCAGCGTAAGGAGAATATTCTACTCCATAGATTAAATAAAGGATTAATTTTCTAAATTCTCGCTATGTTACCCAGATCGATATGCATAAATAGTCCTGAATATAAATAGTGTAAATAATGACGATATAATATTGGCAAACATACTCTTGTGAATGACATGAATCTATTTTCTTTCAACTAAACTATGAGATAAATATTAGAGAAGACTAGGCTTTCTAGCCTTGGTTGGAAACCTGTCTATGAGAAGGACAGCTGTGAACTGAAAACCGGTTGTAGGAGGGAGTGGCAACTTCAGTATGTAAAACGTATTACAGCGGCAACACATAGCGTAGTGAGGCTTTGATGCAATATGCCACAGGCGAGTCTAATGACACTGAGAAGGAGGAAGAATGACAACGAATAATCTCGAAAGATTGAGAGCTACCATGAATCGACCTTTGACGAAACATAATTCAAGGATGTGTTGAATTAAAATTTCCAATTTGATTTTATTATCTCGCTAGAAAATTTCGATCTTAATACACTTGCCACCAATTTTCTAGTGGCATCGACCAGTGATTACGTTGTGAGATCATCTGCGGACAGAGTTCGGAGAGAACTGGGAGTTGGTTAGATAAAAAACCATACGCTGAATCAGAAATTCCATGTGCAGGAAGTGTTTTTTTAAATTCTTTTTAAGGAAAGTGAGAGGTGGGGGTTACAGAAACTTATTAACTTTTTGGATTGGATTCAAAAGTTGAATTTAGAATGTCAGCATTTTTTTTTCTGAAATGAAACATTTTTATTATGTTTCAGTAATTCTTGTATTCAGTAAGCATTGAGAGATTTTTTTTTGTTAATAGTTTCGTGGTAATTCCAGGTGAGGTCTTTTAGCTTTCCAAAGAAACTAGTACCGTCTGTTGTATATAATATCTAAAGAGAACGAGAAATTGGTCGGAAGAGATGTTGTTTTACACACGGCGATATATTTTTCGTTTATGTCTGCTAGGTGAATATGTTTTATGTGCTAAATTCCGCTTACAAAGACGTCATTCGATCTTTGGCACGAGCAACTACGTCATATCATTTTTTAAAATACTTTTTATGTTGCTGTAGGGTAAATATTGAACATATTTATTTTAGGAGTTCTATTTCGCATTGTCAGTGAAGCCGATAACGGATTTTAAATGACCTGTATATTCCTGCCAGACATCGTCTGCGGGGAAAACATTACATCATTACTCAGCCTGCGTTTCATCTTCTGAGGTTTGAGATTTAAAGTCATAATTTACCGAGCATTCTTATTCGGTGTGCAGTGAACGAAAAAGACTGTCTTGTGTTTGAAATAGAGAAAATTAATAGGTAAGAAACGCGATGTGTATACATCGCTGTTCTTGCGTATTAATTTTCTCTTTTCCAGGTGTTTTAACTTACAAGCATACTTATTATTGAAATTCAAGTTGTGCCTAATTCTTAGAAAATACGGGGGAGTACCAGTTGCAAATTTTGTGGATATCAGCTTAGCTCTGTAGGGATTGACACCATTCTGAAGGAAGTCAGTATTGGCGTATGTGAGTAATGCATTAACCAGTTCCTTAAGGCAAGTAGTGCAAATAATAATACGAGGGTAATTCAAAAATTATCCGCACATTCGCCATAAAAAATATCCTTAGGTTTGTCACACTGCTTTCTCTTCATTCGAGCTTATAGTTAGCACTATTGTGGTCATGTGATCGAATTTTGAGCTTGATCAAGCTGCTGTTAACATGTCCACACTATTAGCAGTGTGCACAAATAGCAGTGATCCAATTTCTCTGGTCGTAAGTTGTGTCAGGAGCTGAAATTTAACACAATACCGCGACAGTGCAATACGGTGTAGAAGTGGATATGAATGGATGGGGAAGTTTAAAAGCGGCCAGACAAGAGGGATACACAAAAAAAACAGGGCATCCGTCAATCTTCATCATTGAGCAGAAGATTCAGCAATCTCGAGAAGTGGTAATGGCGAATCAGAGAGCATCTATCAGGTAGCATGCTCTCTGCACACTCGTATAACTGCTTGTTGTTCTTCTTTGATACACACTGCTAGAGGAGCGGCTATGTTTGTACTGTAACAACAGCAAGAGAATTGGCGCGATCAAGCTCAATCTTTGACCATGTGACCACAATGGTACCAACTAAAAGCACACATGAAAGCAGTGTGACAAAACTAAATTTGAGCAAAGTCCTTGTAATTTTTTACTGGAACGATGAGAAGTGAAAATGTCAAAGGAATTAAAAATAGTAATGTTAAGCAAAATTCCTAAAACGAAATTAACATTTACGATTTACAAAGAAAGTGTTGTGTAAATGAATGACAGAATGGAAAATATGTTACACGTTTCGTTCTTAAAAAGGACTTCATCAGTCTAAAATAATGTTATATATATATATATATATATATATATATATATATATATATATATATGTACAGCTCATCGTTGTGGCTAGACGTCCTGTTGCCTCTACCTAGGATCGAAACCCGGCTGAAATACTCAGTCGGAGATTCTCCTTCTAAGCCGTTGGTTATATATATGTATGTATTTGCGTGTGTCTGTGTCTGTGTAATGTGTGTGTGTTGGTGGAGGAAGAAAAATAGAAACAAAATGTAATTCATAGGGATCAAGTGGAACGCTGATGATGGAGGGTCGCTAAACTTGACATTTTAAATATCTGGCGTCGGATCAGTCGAGACGTTTGACTTAACCGGTGTCATTCAGCTTCCCAAATTTGTCTGCTGTGGTTTTTATCGCCATTTTTCTGTATCCCATATCCGCGATAAAATACAAAGCTGTTGCTTGTTGAAATTTTATGTTTCACATGTGTATTTCAAATATTTTGATAAATTCCAGGGCAAATATTCATCAGAGGTCAATCTTATTCCGTAATATCATCATCAGCTTTCTCCTTTTTAAGCACATCGATTTTTGATTTATTTTTCAGTATTGTCGGCTATTCTGAGACAAAATATTGTCATTATTTAATCCTTAATTAATATTTTCAGTTGTACTTTTTTTTAAACAAAAATTTTTTTTCGAATATTCTAATGGCTTTCCATATTCTCTGAAGTTTGGTAATAAGTTTTGCCATTACACCATTTATTTTTGTAGATTCGACCTCGTTCTTTCCATGCAGCTTTTGCCGAAAAGATTCACTTGCACCAAGTAACTCAGTATCTCTTGCCACATATCGGGCGAATGGCGACTACCTCGGTTTCCTACCGACCTATTTTGGAAAGTAGGTCAACAGGCATCTAACTCAATGGGGTAAACTAATGATGCAAAGCGAGGTATGCAGCCCGTGCAGTGATGACATGATTCAAATTAACGGCAAGGGTTCCTTCGATAGAATCAACGACAACGTAACCGTGATCAAGTCGAGATATCAAGAGAGTTGGCGTAAGTTGTGTTTTGATATATCAAGGGATTAAGACCCGCCAGTTCCCCATAAAACGTATGCCTGAATACCACGTCTTATTAATATACCCAGGTATATTAATAGAATTGTTCTGCTTTTCAGTTGATCAATGACTTTCCCCTCAAGCCCGTTATACAACCGATGAAGCTGATGATAATGCTGACTATTATGCCGAAATAATTTCATTATTAAGCCTTTTTATAGTTTTGAAGATTTAGGGAAAAAAAGATCTCTTTCTTCATTTTTTTACATCCTAATCATCTTTCATTCTTGTCTGAATTTCTGGGATGAGGATTTATCATTATTTATAATATTTACATTCAGACTATTGCCATCATCTTCGTTGTTGCTATCACCACTTTTCGGCTAAAACACAACAAGAAGCAGCAACATCAACATTGTCCTACGCGGGTAAAAGCGTTGTTTTGTGAATTTGGTAACATAATTGTGAGTTCAATCCCTGGGTCAGGCAGTGTGTACTTGTATTCAGTGTAAACCTGCGGTCAACAACTGAACAATACTAAATAACATAGGAACCAGACGATACACCTAGATATAAGCAGTGCAACTAGTCTACCCCCGTAGATTAAATAAAAGGTTCAGTTCAGAATTCCCTGTAAGTTACTCAGACCGACGTATAGCTGAAGAAGTCCGGAGATCAGAACGACCGAAACGTCGGGATAAGAACAAAAAAGACAAGTTCAATAGACCGACTATAGACAGCGTAAATAATCTTTCATTCTATTACTATTTCGAGATTTCTTTTAATTCAAACATTCTCCTCTTTTAGTAGAAAATACTTTGCGTACCATCAAGAGAAACCTTTTATTGAATACGTAAATAGTAATGTATTCAATTGATAGATTATGATAATGAGACATATAGGTAATCAAATTCCTTAATAATAATAATAATAAGTGGTCGGAACATGAGAAAACATATGATAGACTAATGAGATTGTTATTCTTTGGGAATTCGGAGTTCAGACTGATAGGGAAATGCAGAAAAAATCAATGCCGCATAATTGTGAAAACTCATATTATAACAGCTGATATATTTTCCAGCCAAAGTTGTCTTAGATTTTTTTCCGATGTGGGCAAAAGTTCGTCTAAGAAAATGTTTGATGAAAATAAAAAAAAAATACAATGGCTGTCCAGATAGAAATCAGTAGAATGCGATATATCAGGACAACTATTTTATTTGTTGTTATTGGCATTTTGGAAATATTAAAAGGAACAAACAGCTAACGGCGTCATATTCATGGTGGACCTAAAATACGTGAATCTAAAAAAAAATGAGTACTCAGGAATATTTCTCAAAATTACATTCTTTTAATTCTCTGACTGCCTGGCACCTCATCTGTTTGCATTTACTGATACCAAAAAAACATTATTGTCTCTTGCAGTCTTTTGTTGGGACTTGGGGGCAATTCGTACTAAACAAGACAAAACGACAACAACAACAATAATAATAATAATAATAATAATAATAATAATAATAATAATAATAATAATAATATATTATTTAATAATATATAATATTTTTTAATTGGTCAGTGGAAAATGTCATAATGAATTTCTAACCTTAAGTCTCTAGGCGGGACCCGGAACGAAATGTGTACACACGAGAAATCAAAGGAAATGAAATCATAATAATAAAGAACATAAAAGAAATAAGAGACTTTATTCAGTAATAAACTAATCCAACAAATTTAAAAGGGAATTTCAAGTGGATGAAGAAAAGCAAATAAGCCATAATATATCTATTGCAACGCCTAAGAAAGGCACAACAGCAGTCAAAAGTAAATGCAATGAACTAGATGCAAAAACGATTAAAACATAAGCTCATGACCAATAAATGACCGTGCCAAACAAAGCCGATATATAGACAAACACATCTGTGGTTACGTAAAGCAGGATTAAACCAATGGTTGTTAACTAGAAATTTCCTAAGTAAGCATACTGAACGATAAGTGTTAACATGAAATGCAAATTATGTGATGAATATCCAGAAACAATTAACCATCTTGTATCAAGTTGCACGGTATTAGCACTCATCGATTATGAAACTTGGCATGATAGGGTGTGCCAAAAGTGAAACTTGAAAATATTACTGGAAGGAAACAGCATGGAGTTGGAATGAACAACACCCAGACACGGTTACAGAAACTTTACAATACGCACACACAGAACAATCAAATTTAATAGTCCACACATCGTAATGAAAGACCGCAGAGAGAAAATGTTCTTTTTTATTGATATGGCAGTCCCTGCAGATTGTAATGTATCTTGGAAGATCTCTAATAAAAGACTTTCAAAATACAAGGCTCTTGAAATGGAAATATCAAAATTGTGGCATATGAGGAGATCAATAATTGTAGTTGAAGTTGGAACCCTCAGATTGATTGGAAAAGATTCTGATAGACACGTTGATTGAATTTCTGGTAGCCCTTACCTTAAAGAAAACAACAAAAAAAAATGTGATCAAAAGTACAGCTCACACCGTATGAAAGTCATTATAAAATGTGGCTGTTCTTCGGTTGTTTTATTTTTTTAATTTTTTTTTCAAATTATCAGTGAAAATATCATGATGCCATTTGTGAACTTAGGTCTCTAGTTGGGATCCGGATAAGAATGAGTATACAACTGAAATCAAAGGAAATAATAATAATAATAATAATAATAATAATAATAATAATAATAATAATAATAATGATTTATTTGTTAATAATAAACAAAATGATTGACGTAACTTTTCTGATATATTCCAACAGTTAAAAGAGAACGATTTAATAAATGAATTGTTTCACATTTGACAATGTCAAAAAATATCTGTCTTCTTCAAGTTATATTCAAAAAAAATTTTTTTCAAATATAAAAATATATAAATCTACAAAAAAAAATGTAACTCATTCATTAGATATGACGCGT